TATGTTTTTGAATTGTGCTACATTAATTTGTAAAAGTTACGAATGAAATGTCATTAGTTGTATTTATGTAGTGTTGCTGTAAATATTAAAAAATTTAATTATGGTGCAGAATCGAACGGTTCCATAATTATATTTGGATCCGATGGTTCCATTTATTAAATACCCGAAAGTTTTGGGTCAATTCGATTCTCTTCAAAATCAAACCGAACCGACTCACGGACAACCCTAAACTCAACTAAGAAAGAAGCAGAAAGCTCGATGGCTATGGCCAATGCCATTATCAATTTATCATCACAGCTTAATACTTATTAATACAAGAGAAACCTCTAAGAGCATTGTAATCACAATACAACGTCAACTCCAAATTTTAATACAACAAACTACTACTCGATTCCAATAAATTTGGATTACAAAGAAAATAAAAGGGACAAAACTCTAAAATCGCAAATAATTTCACAGCAATTATTTCACATTCTACTTTTGGAGACTTGTGTTAATCAGTACGGATTTTCTTCGGACGATAGTCTTGCTATCTGCATAAGCTAAACTCACTTCTCAATGAGTCGGGTTGGGGTTGAATTTTACAGATTCCCTCCAGATGAGTTCCTTGATATTCTCTTCGGTGAATGACGGCTGCTCAAAATCAAAAACAAAAGGCATAGGGCAAACCGGCTCTTCGTTGATATTATGAAGAGGAGCCAAGTATGGGTGGCAGAGAGCCTCGTCGACTGCATGTGATTGAAAAAACAATTGAACGTCATTGAAACCCAAGAAATAAGCAAAAATAACCTACTTCCTAGAAAAGTAACTGTTCTTAGTAAAAGAGAAAAAAAGTAACTTTCAAAACCATATTTGTCAAAGAAAATGTAACTATCATTCTTTTTAAACGTAGCCAAGCATGTTCAATAACTTCTTTAGACTTGTCAACCATACTACAAGTCAATTTTGAAGTCATAACACTCGGAAGTCAACTGAAATCAAGCTGTACCAGTAATGCGCCTGCATGGGTCAAAGACGAGCATTTTCTCAAGTAAATCCAACACTCCAGGGTCGGTGTTAGGAAATTTAGCAGAGAAGGGTTGCCTTGGATACTGCGGAAGCTGCCTAACATATCTTCGGGCATTATCACTCCTAAGAAAACCGAGACTGGCATCATCAGGTGAACCTATGAGCTTTTGGGAACAAAAAGAAACAATTTTATGTGAGGATAAAACCCACAAAAATGAAGTTATCGAAACAAGGAACGGAACAGCATAAGTGTCATTTGTTCATTTCGAGAAGACACCCACAAAACACGAAGTGCATGTACACGGTTAGATAGGACTAGACACTATAATAAACATGGAAGCGGGATTCATGCTCCAAAGTATGCCCCGTATTGATTCTCAAGACCTTACCTCTGTGATAAGTCTCAATTGATGAACATAATCTCTGCCGGGAAACAGTGGTTTTCTTGTCATGATTTCACCGAGTATGCAACCTACCGACCAAATGTCAATCGCTGCGGTATATTCTGAACAATTAAGAAGCAATTCAGGTGCCCTATACCAGCGAGTAACAACGTACTCAGTCATGAAATCAGTCTCTGATGTTGTCCTTGCAAGCCCAAAATCTCCAATTTTTAAATCACAATTTGCATTGAGAAGTAGATTGCTTGGTTTTAGATCACGGTGTAAGACATTTGCTGAATGAACATATTTAAGTCCTCGCAAGAGTTGGTAAAGGAAGTACTGCATAATGAGAATGAATAATCAATTAAGCAGTGCCAGTTGATAAATGTCGATTTCACTGAAGAATAATAAACTCAACGTAGATGGAAGTCGCATATGTACACACCAAAGCAATAACGTACAAGAGTAAAAAACTACAGCAGAAACTTCTTGTATCAATTAAGGTATTTATCTTGAAGTTTTCAGAACATAATAATATCAAAGCTGTGCTAATCCTTTCATGTTATGGGAAAAAAAAAACTCGCCAAATGGTGTCGTTTCTAGATTATTGATTTATTCTTGTCCTATTTCTAATAATAAGTCATCTCGATATTACCTAGTTCTCAGCATAACAGTTTAGAAACTTCTTGGTGACACACAGTATTATACTGAGAGTCTATTTTCTGCATAGCATTAGTTGTAAACATACAAAAGCCAAAGTGTATTAAGTACTATAGCCAAACTTACATCACAACAACAGCAGAACAATAAGATGGGCCAAACATGCTCTTTGTTTCCAAACTTGGTCAAGTTTTTCTCATTTTTAAGTAAAAGAAGTAACTATTTTGATATTAACTTTTATCGCACTCTTAAAATAAGTAACTTACTTATTTCTAATTTTGATATAGTAAAAAGCTACTTATTTTAAAATTTTAAGGTTTGCTAAACATGCTCAAAGTTATAGAAGCATGTCCAGGGAGTTCTCAAATTAAAATATTGTTTTTCTTAAACAGCAACAATAATTAAATATAATAAGCAACAACAGACGTTAACAATATGTTGAAATGATACAACTGACGGAATGTTCTATTTATTACAAGAAAGAGAGTCCAAACCTGACAATGATCAGCAGTCAATGGTTGGTTGGACCGGATAATCTGATGAAGATCAGTGTCCATTAGTTCAGAAACTATGTAGACATCGTTAAAGTTCTCCTTTTGCGGAGGCCGGATAATGTCTTTAATTGCAATCACCTGTTGAAATAGAAAAACTGAGCAATAAGATAGCAATTCAACCAACCAAAAACATTTTGATGGGACCTGAAATTCAACAAAAAACTCAGAACAAAGAGAGACTAAAGCAAGGAATTCTTATCAGTCAAAGATTAGTATCTGGAAAATGATAGGAAGCAATACTTACATTATCGTGATCCATGTGGCACAGAAGTTTTATTTCCCTTAGCGTTCTCTTGGCATCTATCCTATTGTCAAATGCATTACCAATCTTTTTAATGGCAACTTCCTCACGTGTCTCTGAGTTTACAGCAGCACTGAGGCAAATGAAAAAAAAAGAAGACATATGGTTCCTTCACGCCATATATAAATCAGAGTGAAAAACACAAGTTTAAACATAGAAACTTTATGATTCACATGCTGATGATACACTATTTGAGTTTTTATACACACAAATTGAACAACTTCCTCAACGTAATACGGTAGCTGACAATTTGAGAACCGACACGGACTACTTAAATTTCAAAAAACCTATGATGCATATTTGGTATGTAATATTAAATTGGTTCAGTTCGATGCTCGATTAACATTAGGATATCCTTGTTGTTATTAAATAACATAGCTCCATGGACGGGCTTGAATGGAGAAACCAAATTTTAAATTAGATAAAAACATGATTATGTGACACTGTCTATTTAGAAGCAAGTTGAGAACCATCTAAATCATTTCAATCGCCTTGTCCAAGGGCACTGTCTTTATTCCATATCATTATAAATGATATCTCGATTTATTTTTATTTTTTTCAAAATAAGCAACTCTCTCTGTCCCTTATAGAGTGTCCTCCATGACTTCCCAAAGTCCAACAGTTTTTTTCTCCATAAAAAAATCAACCTCAACAGTTTTACCTCATAACTAGCAACTAGAATGTTAACATTTCTATCAACTCTTCTACACATAATCCACAAAATCTAAAATAAAGTTAAAAATCTTCTAATCCCGTTTCATTTGGCTCCACTCAACAACTAGTTTGAACATTTATGAGCCATAAACATCAAAACTTTTTAAAACAATGACATTTCTATTACCTCTTCAACCCATACATGAAAAAATAAAAATAATAAATAAATAAAAATCAAAAAATATCTAAACTAAACATCAAAACTCATTCGTCTACAATCAACAATCAGTTCGAATAATTTGAGACATAAGCATCAAAACTCTGTTCAAATGTTGACATTTCTATGATCTCTTCAGCACATCATCCAAAAAAGAAAAAAAAAATCATTAAATAACTAAAATAAACACCAAGAATCTTTTAATCCCAATTCAATTTGACTCCAATCAACAGCTAGTTCGAGACATTTACGACCACAAACACCGATACTAATTCATTTCAATAACTACAGAGGACCAAATAAATACAACAGGAGCTCAAATTTTCATGAAAATATGAAAGATATTCTTGGATCCTTACCAAACAAGGCCATAAGCTCCACGACCCACGGGCCTTATGGGAACATACTTTCTAGAAACTTCGAATAGATTCCCATACAAACTGTATTTCACATATGTTCCACCATGAGTGGGCACTCCTTGAAAATTATGTACACCACGATCACCAGAACCAACACTTGATTCCACAGACATAGCAAAAAAAAGGTTAAAAAAAAGGATATATCTTTGTATTAAAATGAAAATTTTCAAGAACCCAATTCATTCAAAAACTTAGTTTCTATCAAGACTCCCCAGATCCCAGTTCAAGAACTGAATTTTTTTTATCATAATTTTGGATTTCTTTGTGCGAATCTTTGTGTTTAAAAAGAGTGAAAAAATTTCTGAAAACGAGTGTTTTTTGACATTTCTTCTTTGCTTTGATCTCTTTTCTCTCAAGTCTGAATTGCTATGAAATTTCTGGAGAGAGAAAGTAGAGATTTTGAAGTGGACCGACTTGAGATTACCCGTGAAGTTAATGGACTTTTTACGCTGTGTGGAAAATCTTCAACCACGGTACCAATAATGGACTTTTTACGCTGTGTGGAAAATCTTCAACCACGGTGTAAATGTTGACTTCTACTTTCCCTGTTTGGTGGGATTAAAATAAGAGCTTGTTTGGTAGAGATTTTGGAGGAAATAATTAATTTTTGAATAGTGATATGATGGAAAATGTGTGATTGAAAAAGAAGAAAAAATTATTGATGTGATGGAAAATGTGTGATTGAAAAAGAAGAAAAAATTATTGATGTGATGGAAAATATTATTTTATTAAAGATTGTGTGGTTGAAAATGAGAATTGATTTATGTAGAATCAAAAAATCAAAAACAANAAATTATTGATGTGATGGAAAATATTATTTTATTAAAGATTGTGAGGTTGAAAATGAGAATTGATTTAAGTAGAATCAAAAAATCAAAAACAAACACCCCCTAAGTTTTTTTTAGCCCCTATTTGAGTCACTTTAAAATTTTCATTCTTCTACTCATTTTCAACCATACATTCTTAATAAAATAATATTTTTTATCACATCAATAATTTTTCATTCTTTTCAACCACACATTCTCTTTCAATCTACTATTCTAAAATACATTCTTCCAAAATAATGTGGCTCAAACACACCCAATAAAGTTTGATAAAAGTTGATAAAATTTGTAATTGGAAAAATTGTGAATCTTATAAAACAATTGTAAAACTAATTGTTAACTTTGATTTAAATAAAAAACAAAATTTTAATCGTGATAGAATAATTCATAAATTATGAACTATAATTTATAATAAAATTAGGTTGTAAATGTTTTATGGCAAAATTTATTTATTTCTTTACAATAAATTCAAAATTATATTCAGATCATAATTCTACAGACTATAAAGAGGAACTTACTCAAAAAGAATTAGTCAATTTTCCATATTTCAAAATAGAAAACCTATTTAATTTTAAAGATTTGAAAAAAAAAAAAAAATCTTCCTGCATTTTTTCAGATTTTCAGAAAATAATGCAAGAAATATAATTCAAGAAAATTCTACCTAGGGCCTAACAACAAACCGCCAAACCGAACCGAAACCCCTTTTTTGAAACCGTTGGTTTGGATCCACATGGATCCGTCAACGTTTTAGTTTTGAACCGAATCAAACCTCTTTGAAGTAGTTTGATTTAGGTTTTAATTTTTGCAAACCGTTTCAAACTGTCAAACCGCTTTTTAAAAAAATCAAATTTCAATTTCAATTTTATTCAACCCAGTTAAAACTAAAGCAAATATATCCCAATTAAAAGATACATTCATATTAGACCCAATCCAATTAAATTCAATAACCAACTTCACTAAATGCCCAATTAGATAATTACCCATCTGAACTTTAAAATTTAAATCCAATCCTTAATCCTTTAACACGTGCGTGGTACTTTCAATTAACTTCTAGGTTATTTCTCCATCTTTCAAACTCTAACAATAAAGATAC